CCTGCGTATTTGGTGATCGGCACTCGCGACTTACTGCTCATAGCCCATTCAGCCTAGGCCATAGGTACTTCCTAATCCAACGGAAATGTCCCGTCTCAAGTACAAACACCTAGATCTTCTTCTCAACAAGTGGCAATACCTCCACCGCCAATGGTACCCCTTTGGTTCAACTCATACTGACACGGCAGTTAGGAGGGCATCGGGCAGCAGCGACCACTAAAAGTTACTTTTTAGGGAAGAGGCTCTTGATCCAGCAACGATGTCTGCATATTCTCAAATGCATGCAAGGCAGTTTGGCAAGAGCACCCTCGAATTCCAAAGAGTTCACTAGATAGAGGAAACAGAGAGGAGACTGACATCTGCACGAATACAACAATTGTTGGAGGAGGGTGAGTAACACCCCCCGCAAACCCTGGGCAGCGCAGCGACTCCGATTGTATACTTGTGGGGCGAAACTACTGTAGACGCTATCCCCATTAGTCATTAAAACTGTGAACGTCCCACCTGCTTCAATTTATTAACATGTCCGATAATGTAAGCCTCTCCGAACCAGTTCTCGACTTCCCCTAATGTATTGAAACTTACAGGCGGTCAGTAAACTGTTATATCCACCTTATGTCTTACACCACAGGGACTTTTTCATCTCTCATCTGTGTTTGACGGTTGCTACTCAAACTGAAGCTCTACAGGGAGCGCAAGCAGTCCCACTGGGCAGATTTGTGTCAGGCTTTTCTGTCTTCTAAATGCGTAGCACGGACATGGCAGTAGGAATGCCCAAATCAAAGGAGGGCTTGCAAGTACGGCAAGCACTTCTTGATGACACAGATTGCGTGGGGTGGGGTGTTCCGAGTCCGCAACTGTGCCTTTTCGTTGGCAGTGAAAATCTGCAGTGGTTTCTGGCCCTCAATGGCGCCATTATGTGAATAAGCAGACGCCCTCATCGCATGCACTTACGCAAAGTTCTGCCAGACAGCGTTAAAGACTCACTCGCCAACCTTGATGATACCACATAAACGTAACGTGATAAACCTGCCAGTGCACAATCACGCCACTAGGTAAGGCATAATGGCTCTGTACAAGGCGGTCAGAGTATGATGGTGGCAGCAGCCAATATCAAGGCCACAGGTACTCACCGAGAGACGTTTGAGTGCAGTTTCCATCACGCTTTCTATCGATGTCTCCGCCTATTTCTCCCTCACCTCCAACCTCCAGCACTGACTCCAAACAGGGACCAGTAGAGTAAACATACTTATCAAAGTTTTGAAATAAGCCCGAAGAACTTTGCATTTCCCCGAGAAAACCGCCACAATCTGCACTCAAACAACTGCGATCGGTTGAGAGATTCAGATTGCCCGCAGGTTTACATCCTCTTGCGTCCTGTTTCGGATTCTGTCAGTGATTCAAATGTTTATCTGCGTACTAGGTCAACCATCCGTACGTTAAAATCCTTTGTATAGTCACGTGAAAACCAACAGCTCGCATAATAGAGCTTAAAGCATAACATGTTAGAGTTGTGAGTCGGAAGAATAGGCGAGTGTAGACGCAACGTGTTCGTGCACCTGAGCACCATATGGCACTCGCTGCAACACCTGCGACGGACACAAATATCGTCCAAAAAGTGCTATTTAGCTATTAAGCAGGTGACAATGACGAATCACGGCTAGGTATGTGGATGGCAGATCGATGATTAGGCCGAGGTTTTCCGGTATCGTTAGGCAGCATTTGGTCGGAGACTGACCTCTAACAGCACATCTCCTCGTGACACTTGAGTTAATAAAATATCACAAGAAAGAGGTTTGGCTACTGGAGAAGTGTTTTTGTGTGAGCGAGGTTTGTGTTTATTTAAGCAGTTAAGTTATCAACATAAACGCTTGCCTCTGTCCGTCCATATTTACTTCAAGTTCGCTCCGACCAGTAAAGTTATTTTTAAAAAAACGTTAATTATCCATCGCAAGTAAGAAAACATCAATTACTATATCGTCCTTGTGAGCTGTCGGCATGGAAATAAATGCTTGTATCATCTGATTCGACAAATTCATCTCACTCTAAGAAAAGTGTTGCGTAAGCGAAAGAAGCTAGTTTAGAAAAGTCCAAATGACCGCATAAGGGAGTGGTGAGGTTAGGGAATACTTATCACGTCAATATTTACAGCTCACATTGGGCGTACAAGTTATCATACGGCTGAAAATACCTCAACCGGTAATAAATGCGGTTATTTCTATGCGTTAACGGTGTGTTTTGTCCCTTGTGCGTCCAAAGTTGTTCTCGGTGAGTGCCTTCAATAATTGGTTCGAGTGCCAATGCAAAATGTCAGAATAATAACATTATTTTGACATCAATCACATCCTCTCTCCTTCTGAATCACTTCTTGGACTTTCTATCCTTGCTTCTATCTGTATTCGCTAGGGAAGCAGTCAATAGGAAAATATGCGAGCGTATCACAGGCTGGAGCCAGGAAGTACACCAGGCCGACTTGACTGTGCGCAAATTCACGGCTCACGGCGAGCCTCGTAGTTTAGTTGGCAGAGCATTGGCTGTACTCCAGCGTTCCCTTGTTGACGTGGGTTCAAACCCCAACGAGGTCGCGAATTTTTCACAGTTGCGTCAACTGACTCATTCAAATCTGCCAGGCCTTCCTAATAATACATAGCCCCAGTCACCTATGTCAGTTAAATAAGCACACTTACGTAAAACCAGCTATAGGGGAAAATCTGAGTAAGTGCGACTACATCAACCACGGTCCTCTGTGTTTCAACAGTCCGATTCGTGTGCCTACAAAATGAATGATTGCGTTGGCTGTGTTGATTTAGGCATTTTAAACTCACTTCGGCAAAGCTTGCTATAGCCATGTTGCAGTTCCACGCCTGATTTCGGAAATAACGGTGACGATTACTCCTTTCTCTTTCAGTTACCTCTTACCTTCGGACGGCTAAAGATAAATTCCTGGCCAAATGGGAGAATCCCGAGAAGGTAATGTTGCAATTTTGTCATGTCCCCACAGGGTACTTTGGGTATTTCAACACTTTGTGTTATGCGTAAAGGCTACCTTACAAAATGAAATATCCACTAAAAGTTTGGAATTCTAACCGATTTCGGCGCGGTAGCTTGTCGGAATGCGTGTCGGAACTCTTCACAGCTCCCCAACGAAGAAGCTGGAGTTTAGAGACACACTGCAAGTTTGTTCTTAAGGCGGAAGTGATGTGCAACATAGAACACCTGTGGGTGAAATAAAGCCCTATGGTCAGGGTAAATTTTACCCTGTTTTGTTTTTCAAAACTTCCCAAAATCCTAAACCCGCAAACAGTCAGAACAGTTTCAAAACATCTTTCGCTTGACGGAGGAAAAAATCCGCCTGCCTCGGTCGCTTTGTGCTTTTTTTCACACTTGCGGTTTTGATATGAGAAAAAAGGACGAATATCCACCCCCTTCAAATTTCAATGCATTTAGCTGTAAAATTCCTGGGTTGCGCTGCCCAATTCGCAAAGTCCAAACTGCGTTTTATGGTTGCCTGACCTCATGCGGCGAGTGAAGGCGATATTTACCTGTGAGACAATTTCCTGCGTCCAACTGCTTTGGTTAATGCACACGCAAAATGAATTCACACATAATACGTGCCTTTTCCTCTAAGCCTATTATTATTATTAAAAATTTCACGTTGCCCCTGGTGGAATGGTAGAGCTTAAACGCAATGACCAACAGTCCCGCAGATTGAGAAGTATAAGGCGTTGCGATCACCTTAATCATACTTTTACTTGTCTGAGCTTTCGGGATCTTTCTAGAGTCCATTATCAGAGATAAAAGGTGTAAACGGCAGTCAAGCAACAGTTATAGGACGCAGGGGCCAATCAACCGTTATAGGGGAAGGGGGGAGATTTGTCAACCACTAGTGCCATCATTCCGGAGATGCCTGAGCAGCGCGATGTATGCCGGCGCCAGATCGGTAAATCGATTGATTGAGTTCTC